ATTATAAAGTCTGTGACTGGAAAGTCAATTTCCTGACTCACCTATATTGAAGGGAGATAAGTGGATTTCCAGGGAGGAGGTTTTTTTGGAGAGAGTTGTGCTAGTCATCTCTTCTCTACTTACCTGCCCCCCAACGTCAATTCAGAAGAAAGGAAGAAGAAGAACTTTACAGAAACCACGTAGTGAGCTTAATATGTGTCCTTTGTCCTGTGCAGTTGGGAGTGGGGTGAGCCTAGGGGATGAGCAGCAGACTGGGTATAGTGGATTCGGCTATAAAGTAGGGGAAAGCTTCTATTGTGATGGGATAGATCTGCACTTCCAGAGCTTTTTGGGCAAATAATATATGTGTGTGTGTGTGTGTGTGTGTGTGTGTGTGTGTGTGTGTGTGTGTTTCCTGTGGACCAGATTTAGGCTGGCGGGCAGGGGAGAAATACACTAGTGGGTTTCAAGGAGGTGGGATGGCAGCTAGCTATAAGACCTCAACAAACAGTAGATGTATGAACTGCTAGATTCCCAAACTATAGTCAGAATGAAGAAGCTTGTTCAGGGAATGCAGTGAGAAACAATGGGAAGGGCACTAACAATGCAAGGATTTTGAAAAGCCAAGAGAAAGTCATTTTAGTCTTCATGCAGAGCTAGCTTTTTGATAAGGCAGATATTTAGAAGTTTTCTTATCTTGTTCCCTCTTCTTGCTTCTCTGTTCTTTCTCACCCAAAGGGTTAGAGTGAAACTATAGGTAGAAAATAGAAGAGACAGGCAGAAATGAGAAGCTGATCATGTATTCTAAATATCCATGGCTGGTACTTTGGCTGGTCTTGGATTCCTGCCTGTTGAAATGACCAAGAGCTTTGTTTCTGAGGAGTCTGTACCTTTGCTTGATTTGTTTTGGTCAGGCTGTGGTTGCTATGATTTCCAATTCATAGTTTTTGCAAGGCATGGTGGTACTAAGAGTTGGCCAAATAAGTCCCCTGACCCCTTGGCCCATGGGTTCTAAACATCTTTCTTCCTGATGGTAGCATCTGACCATAGTAAGCATGGTCAGTCAATGACTGATTAGCACAATAACTGCCTTGTTGTTTTTTGTGTTCTGCTAGTTCACTGGCATGAGGACCCCAAAGTAGCCAGGGGGTAGTCACAGCTTTAATGGACTTCAAGTTCAATGGAACCCTTACTGTACTCTCTGTTGGAAGCAATTCCTCTATGGAAACTAGGGCTTCTAACTTGGCAGAGCCCAAGCATTGTGGGAATTGGGCACCCAAATTCCACAAGTGGGTCACAGAGTTAAGAAGATTCACACCTTGGTTTGCACATGCACAAATTCTAGCTATTAAGAAAAAAATTGCACTACCTGTCTGTCAAATGTGAATCCAGTGCCTATACCACACCTTGGATTATAAAGACCCAACCTTGCAAGGTGTTGTGCCATACTGGCACAGATGGGACTTTAACAGATCATTCCACTATCCTAATGCAATGACTGCCTCTTAGTAATGGGGTTCGTGGTAAGACCAGTGGCTCTCATAGTCAGAAGCCTATTGCTGCATCTCTGTTGCTCTAAAATGAGTCTCTGGTTCTGAGGCATGTATTACCCTGATTGGATAATCCAGTCCTGCCAACAAGTGCCAGGCACATATTGTTATCCAAAATAGCATTTATTGAATCACTGAATGTCTAGGAGATGAGAATCTAAGGAGAAGGAGTCATTTTACTTCCAAACCATGGGCCGTGGTCTGCAGTGTGTCTCACTGAGAAATATCTTTGGGCACAGGGAAGCAGTTGAGGCTGGATTTCTTTGATTGTTGGTTTTAATAATAAGGGAAAGTAGAAGCTGGGGAATTTGGTCTTTATAAGATTTAATAATATTTTCTTTCATCAGAATTCCTGTTGAAATCAGAAATATTTTGCCATTGGGAGGCAATCTCCTCCTATAATGAGACCTAACTCCATTATTGTACATATAAGTGACTGTACTTTCCCAAAGGCTTATGAGGTTCCACCTGCCTCAGTCCTTTCCTGATTGAGGTACTGTACACTGAAATCAACTTTGCCTATCACCTTCCCTTGGTTATTGTTTGTAAATTCTTCTGTTGGCTGCCTTACACCTAGTCTAATTCAGACAAATGGGCCCCTGAAATCTATTATGTGTTCAATTGTGCCTTTCACCCTGGGAAATTCAGTACTTCAAAATACAACCTTAGCCCTGAAAAGTGTGGCAAAGTGGATAGAGCATCTGCCAACACACTGATGGGTCTCCTGTTCAATTCCAGGTCAAGGGCACATACCTGGGTTGCGGGTTTGCTCCTTGCACCCTGACCCTGATCTAGGAATGTGCATATCTCTCTCACATCAATGTTTCTCCTCTCTCTCTCTCTCTCTCTCTCTCTCTCTCTCTCTCTCTCTCTCTCTCTCTCTCTCTCTCCTCTCCTCTCCTCTCCTCTCCTCTCTTCTCCTCTCCTCTCCTTGCCCCCCTCCCTCCTCCCACTCTTTGCAAAGCAATGGAAAAAATATCCTCTGGTAAGGAGTAATAAAAAACAAACAAACAAACAAAAAATAACCTATAGGAGATATGGTCTTATAGAGGTAAGTTAAAATGAGGTTATTAGGGTAGGCTTTAATCCAATATGGCTGGTGTCCTTAGAAAAGGGGGAAATTTGCACACAGAAATGGGCATACAGGGAGAATGCCATGTGACTATGAAGATGGCCATCAAAAAGCTAAGGAGAGAAGCCTGGAAGAGACCTTTCCATTACCCATACAGCCCTCAAAACCCCTTCCCCTGAACAACCTTGACCTTGGACTTCTAGCCTCCAGAAATGGGATACAATGTGTTTCTGTTGTTTAAGCTGCCCGATTATGGAAGCCCTATCAGACAAACAGACAGAATCTGTGCCTGAATTCTACCACGCACCAGAGGAGCTGCCCTGAGCCAGCATGGGTAGTACAGAGAGCATATTTAACTGACATAAAGTTGCAGGAATGGGCCAAAAACTTCCAAGTCTTTCCCAGAAGCCCTTGGCACATTCTCTAAAGTTCCATTGGAAGAATTGGGTCACATGCCCATGCTCTAGCTGCAGACAGAACTGGAAAGGCCTCTGCTACAGCAAGCTCCTGGGTGTGCTCTCATTGTTAAAGGCTCTTTTCAGAACACTGCCACTTAGAACCATCACACTGGCTCTATCAACTGCGTACAAGGAAATGTGGGCCTTACCTTCCTGGTGTCTGGCTCAATAAAGAACGTTGGGTAGCAACCCATCTTTGTCCAGATAATTAATCAATTTTGCTCCTTCCCTGTGTCAGTCACTCTTTTAGACTTGAAAGAGAAGGAAAAGGTCACTATTTCTTGGAGCTCACCGCAGTGGTAGGAGATACGCAATAAGACAGACTAGCTAAGTTAGGTCCCACTAGGAGTGAGGCTTTGTAGGTTGGGTAATTAGCACTCTGTGGAGGTAGTCACTTCAACTGAGAGCTTAGTGCTTCAAGTTAGTGCTTCAAGATGGCAAGGAAACATTGGAATAAGCCATATGGGAATTCTATGAACTTAAATATTATTACACCCACCCCCCTTCAGGTTAATAAGTTCAAATTTTGCTATAAGATTAAGCAATGATAGATTCTGACACTCGGAATAAATTTGGTATAGGCATGCCACAGAGATATTGCAGGTTCTGTTGCAGACCATCACAATAAAGCCACTCATAATCTTTTTGTTGGTGGAGAATCTCACCTTCAATTAGAAAAAAAAAAAATGCAACATGCACAATAAGCGAAGTGCAGTCAAACAAGGTATGCCTGTAAACGAGGACACAGATGCTCAGATCTTGGTGGGTTCTGGCTTTTTCCAGCTTTGCAAATCAAAGTCACTAGTCCTGAGATGTGCAGATCTCTGGACACAGGAATGCTCTCATATTGTATAGCCGATTAAAAACCTGCAAGTGAAATAAAGTACTCAAAGGAGTTTCCCTACATACAGAACTGCTCCCAAACCCCCTCTGAAGGGTGGACTCCGACCCTCACCAGTTTGTGACCTGAATCAACTCTATAGGTATGGTGCTGTGGTTGTCTCAGAGTGTAATCTACCTATTTAAAAAAATTCAGATTATATATCTACTGGCACGTGATCTTCAAGTCTATACTTCTCTGGAGGTAGAGGCCCTTTTAGGCAAAATGATTCCACTCCAGCCACTTTCATACTCTCAAAAAGGGAAGAAAAGAACCCTGAACCCCAAACAGGCCAGATATCCCAACCTCATTTCTCTACCTGCCTGCAGAGAGGCTCTGTCTTTGAGCTGGGGTAGTATAATATCCTGACATGTAACGAATGCCCTACCATCATTGTGCACCAGCCTCCATGGCTTTAGGGAAATAATCCAGTTCTAGTTCCTAAATAGCCTACCCTCCTAAATTATCTAGCGCCGGTTCCTAAAAACTCAGTGTATCTCTCCCCTCTCCCCACCTGCACCACCCCACCCCAACACACACACTCCCAAGGTAGTATATGGCTCATTCCCTTTTTTCCTCCAAATATTTTTCCCATTCCTTTGGCCCCTGCTGGTTTTACACAGTTTGGATTCTTCTTGGGTGTGTCTACTGGTGTGATCCAAGATTTTCTTATGCACAAAGGTTAAAAAGTACTAAAAAATATGGAGAAATGTTCTCATTTCACTCCAGTTCTCTGAACAAGGCTACTGAAGAGCAGCCTCTGCTTTTCCAGAAGGTATTAGAGTATTCTAACACATTTGCTTCCAGAGCCCCAACTATCCTGTGAGAGTCCCTGTGCTATTTTGGAGAACTCAGTTAGATTTACGGAGAACCCCACAGAACAGCTGTCTGGAAGGCTGTGGAGAAACACCAAACGGAGTTTCTAACAAATATTTTCTTTTTTGTTGTTGTCATATTTTTAAATATATATATTTTATTGATTTTTTACAGAGAGGAAGGGGGAGAGTGAGAGTTAGAAACATTTATGAGAGAGAAACATCAATCAGCTGCCTCCTGCACACCTCCCACTGGGGATGTGCCCCCAACCGAGGCACATGCCCCTGGTTGCTGCTAAAATCCCTAACTGCTTGTGACCTTAAGTTAACCCAGTGGTCTGCAATCTCATTAGTCAACAGAGCCAAATATCAACAGTACAACGACTGAAATTTCTTTTGAGAGCCAAATTTTTAAAACTTAAACTATATAGGGAGGTACATTGTTATTAACTTAATTAGGGTACTCCTAAGCTGACCTTTGCTAAAAACTCAAGGGGCCGAAGAGCCGCCTGTGGCTCCTGAGCTGCAGTTTGCAGGACCACGGAGTTAACCATATCCCACCTGGTGAAGTGAGTCAGGAGAGTTCCGGAGGAAGGAGGCAGAAAAGCACCTTGGCCTGGGAGAGGACCCTGGGGAGCAGTGGCCGGGCGGGGCGTGGGCGGTGCCACCGTGGTGGGCGGAGAAACAGCGCAGGCGCCGGGTTTGCCTCGCGTCCTAGCAACCTGCCACGCGCACTGGGGCGGCTGCAGGTGAGTGAAGGTCGGGCTCAGGGGGCTGCCTGGAGCCCGCAGCGCTGGGGCCGCCTTTCCTGTGCCTGGGCTTGTGGCCTCCGCTGGTGTGTTTTCAGGTGTCCAGAAAAGAGGCCCCTTTTCAATCCTCTGGCTGTCTCCCCGCTCTCTCCTCAGCTCAAGAGCCGCCCACCCCTTCTCACTCTCTCCCCCATCCATCCCCGGCCTCCCTGCCCAGTCCTGGAGTTGAGTTTGCTGGGCCCGGGTGGGGTGGGGGTGGGGTGGGGGCGGGGGGCGGGGGACGACCTCCTGCTTCTTGGGCCTGCGACCCCCCTCTGCTTATCTGCTTTCTCTAGGAATCTGACCGTCTTCCTGCCTTTCTTGCCTTCCTTTACCTTTCTCTTTGGCCCTTGTAGGTTTGCCTCCTCCTTCTTTCTATACTGTCTTAGTTGCCTGACCCTTCCTGCCTGTCCTCTGCACCCTCGGAAACTTATCCTCCAACTTAACATCAGTTCTGAAATTTTAACTTTTCTGGAGGTCTCACTGAATAGCTTTATAATTCTCAGAATGTCGGTATATGTACTGAATCCCAATGGATGACACCAGCCACATTTCTAGGTCTTAAAGTGGATGCTTGCGTTCCCATAGTCTTATAAAGAATTCTGTTTTGCTTCTGCTCAGGTGTTACAGAAATTATACCACAAATGTTTTTTTAAACATATATATATATATATATATATATATATATATATATATATATATATATATATATATTATTGATTTCTTACAAAGAGGAAGGGAGAGGGATAGAAAGTTAGAAACATCAATGAGAGAGAAACATCGATCAACTGCCTCTTCTACACCCCCCACTGGGGATGTGCCACAACCAAGGTACATGCCCTTGACAGGAATAGAACCCAGGACCTTTCAGTCTGCAGGCAGCTATCAGTCCGCAGGCAGAGGCTTTATCCACTGAGCCAAATCGGTTTTGGCACAAATGGGTGTCTTTTTGTTAGTGCATGGGGTGGGAGGGAGGGTGGTGTTCCATAGCCTGGCCTGCACCCTCTTGTAATCTGGGACCCCTTTAGGGGATGCCTTTGGCAATCTGGGACTGCTGGCTCCTAACAGCTCGCCTGCCTGCCTGATTGCCCCTAACCACTCTGCCTGCTTCTTTGCCTCTAACTGCCTCTGTCTCAACCTACCACCACAGCTTCATTGGGAATGATGACCAGAAGATCTTTTGGCTGTTTGGTCTAATTAGCATATTATGCTTTTATTATTATATATACTGGAAGCTTGTAACTGACCCTTTGGAAAACAAATCATATCTATTCGATGAGTAGGCAAAATAAGTGCAAAATGTTTTGCAGCTTATAGAGACAGACATGCACAGAAACTTTTGCCCTTTTAGTTGTTAAACATCTTTAACATCTTACTTTCGTTCAAAGATCTGTACTATGTATTCACATGCATTCATTTTAACTGTGGCACTTAGGCAGAAGAACAGGTGCACTGGCCCTGGGTAGTAACTGGGGAGCAGCCTGACTTGATAAGAATTGTTAGTTTCTGTATTTTGCTGAGTTATATCTATCATTTTTAAACACCACTAGAGTTAGTTGAACAAGTGCTATAGTTTGGTTCTCTTGTTAAATTGAGAAGCCATCAGAAATTTCTCACTTAAATGAATAAAACACCATATTATCCTGTTTTCTTTTAAAAACTCATTCAGTTAGGCCTGCAAAGCACTTCTCTTTTTGAAAGAAGACCTTTACAGAATTCCTCTAATTTAGGATAGTCTTAGCCCCCCTGAGGTTTTCTTAAGCCTTTGCTAACTAGTCTTCTTCAATCAAGACTGTCCATCGCTGCAGTTCCTGGATTACTAGATTCAGAAAAGCAATTTAAAGAAATTTAAATATATTACACTTAAATTTCCTCAAAAATTTATCATAATGAAAGTGTTTTGTTTGGTTTTTTTAGTTCTTTAAGTGTCTTCCAGGGAGTTGCTATATGGTATGTTGACTGCCACAGCCTTAGGAATCTATGTAATTTCACATTTTTCTTGGAAAAGGTACAAGAAGGAAATGATGCACAAGCTATTGCTATATAGGACTACAAAACAAGTGCTTAAAATGGAAACAAACAGAACTGTCCATCTAAGCCTTTCTGTATAAGTAAATCTATTTGCACTTATTCATGGTTTGCACTGATTCTCACAAAAACTCTGGCACTCAGGAGTGTCACACATTCACATCAGTTCATGCCTCTGTGTTCGGAACTTCCCAGTAGAAACAATACCCTGGAATATTATAGCAAATGCATAAATTTGTACCCTAATTGTATACATTTTATTCTACTAGCACTTTTATAAATACATGTACATAAATATGTACATATATACATATTATATGTCTTAGTATTATCTGATGTGATACTCAATTTCTATAGCAAATATGTTGTAACTAGAGGCCCTGTGCATGGGTAGGAGGGTGTGTGTCCCTCAGCCCAGCCTGCACCCTCTCCAATCTGGGATCCCTCTCACAATCCAGGACTGCAGGCACCCAACTGCTGGCCTCACTGCCTTCCTGATTGCACCCAATCGCCTGCCAGCCTGATCAGCCCCTAACCACTCCCCTGCCAGGCTGATTGATGCCTAGCTGCTCCCCTGCCAGCCTGATTGCCCCTAACTGCCCTCCCCTGCAGGCTTGATTGCCCCCAACTGTCCTCCCCTCCAGGCCTTGTCCCTCTCAACTACCCTCCCCTGCTGGCCTGATTGCCCCCAACTGCCCTCCCCTGCTGGCCATCTTGTGGTGGCCATCTAGTGTCCACATGGGGCAGCCATCTTTGACCATATGGGGGCAGTCATCTTGTGTGTTGGAGTGATGGTCAGTTTGCATATCACTCTTTTATTAGATAGGATAGAGGCCTGGTGCACAAGTGAGGGCCAGCTGGTTTGCCCTGAAGGGTGGCCTGGATCGGGGTGGGGGTTTCCTAGGTGAGTGGGGCAGCCTGGGTAAGGGGTCTGTGGTGGTTTGAAGGCCGGCCACACTCCCTGGCAACACAAGTGGAGGCCCTGGTATCTGGGATTTATTTATCTCCTATAATTGAAACTTTATAGCCTTGAGCAGAGGTCAGGGCCAACCAGGGTGGGCGGGAAGCTTGGCTTCCTCCATTGCTGGGGAAACCCAAGCCTCCTGCTCACTCTGTGGCAGCAGCCATCTTGGTTGGGTTAATTTGTATACTTTCTCCTGATTGGATGGTGCGCATGGCTTGTGGGCATAGTGGAAGTACAATCAATTTGCATGTTTCTCTTTTATTAGTGTAGATGTCTGATTTGCTATTCTGAAATCAGAATTATAAAAAATAATCTTACATGTGTGCATAGTTTTAAATATCTATAGTATCCAAACTATATTATAAAAGAGAATTAAAAGAAAAATAATTGTAATAAAATATTGGCATAGATAATGAAGTAGTCATATGCTCCAGCCTTATATAGAATTACTGTCAATGTAGTAGCTCCAAGTGCAAAGTGATACAGACATATCTTTTGAAACTTAAATTGTGTGACTAGTATAGTCATCAATGTTGTGATTTTCAAAATGCTGAGCTCTTGGTAAAGTTCCATGTAACACGAAGTATATCTGACCTTCCTTTAGATTTATATGATAGTTGCAATCCTGGAAAATCCAGTTATATTAAAACTGTGAAAAAATACCTTGTGATCTGAAGTTTTTCATCTACTAGATGCTTGGAGATTGCAGCAGCATTCTTCTCTCTCAGGGACTGTTTTGCATATTGCAGGACATCTGCATTCTTGACTCTCATCACTAAATGCCAATGATGTCCTTGTCCTCTCCTTTTGGTGATGAACAGTCTATATTAATACTTCTGTACTGCTACTCAGCAGGCAGTATCGCCCCATGAGAACCACTCATCTAGATGTCCCTGTTACTGAATTTCAAGATTACAGAAAGTAAAATCCCCAACTCATTTTTGTAGAATCTTGTTACCTCTGCTTTTGTAATAATGATGTGGGGGAAAATGCTAATTATATTCTATATTTAACTTTTATAACCATTCTTCTAATATCCTGGAAGATTGTAATAATCTGTATGATTACAAATGGGGAAATAAGCAAGTTTAGATTATATGAAAAAATATAATATCTTTTTATTAATACAGTATGTATCATAAATAACCATTATGAATTAATGCCAGAACTTTTTTTCTACCTTGGCTCTTATTTAATGTTACAGAAAATGATATCTTTCTAAAAATCTTTTAAAGACAAATTTAGCCAAAGTGAAATTTATTTAATTTGAATTTCTATCTTAAATTTTAATGTTAGAAATTTTTTGGTAACCAATTTTGATAAACACCCTAAAAAGATTCTCTTTTGTTCTTACTTCTCTCACATTTGCTCTTATGGAAGTTATAACTTACAATAAAACAATTCTGGGCGGGAAATATAGGCAGAGAATACAGTATTTTGATTGTTCAAATATTTTGGTTTATAGGGTTAATATGTGGTATACCAATTTTTTAAATATATTTTTTAAT